GGTGGGTATCCCCAATGATGAGCGACCAGTATCCGAAAGTCTGTGCAGGTGCAGGGAAATTTCCAAATAAGGAGTGGGTCTTATCGGTGACGTCAGCCGTTAGGCGATCGGCAGCAGGCAAGGGGGGTTGAACTCGTTTGGAACGACGATTGCGACACGACCGCGTACCTCCTACAAGTGTGTCGTCGCTAGAGCCATTCCACTGTCGGTGTGTGTGTGTGTCCGTCGATCGATCTCCCATATGATCGCGGCTGTGCTTCCGATCCGACTGAGTTTCTACAGCCATTGCTACCTCAAGAAGAACTACTACTGATTACCCCAACTGGAAATGCCACCACGGCTTTGTCCAAAACTTGCGGGATGTCCATCATTGCCATGCTGTAAGAATGGACTCGATAAAATGCGGTAAATATTGAAAGTTTTCGACTTTTTTCTTGCTCGGTCGCTCTCAGCCGGGTGCGAGTGGAGTGTATGTTTATTCTGATGCGTTTGCTTACCCGTCCGATTCTGTTTCTATAAACTGGCCTCATACAACTTTAGAAACCTTTCCAGGGAAGTAACCTGTTTGATTTTTTGTTTTTTCACTTTTCTCGCTAATGTTTTTGTTAAGAACTAGTTCCTCTATGTGCAGTATGTCCTGTGGCCGATCCATACTTTGATTGTCATTTATTTTAATGACATCAAATCTTACTATTGCCTTGGTAATGATGGTGGAGTCATAAGGTAGAGTAATTGTAGAAAAAAATCAGGAAAAAATGATTCGAAGGAGATTTTATTTGTTTTCGAGTGATTGATTCGATTGAACGAGGTTAATGCATTGCGGAACAGATTTTTTTCGACTCTTTGTAATTCCTTTATCTCCGAATTGATTTCTGACAGACAGTTTGTAGTGAAGTGAGGAATCGATTTCGATTGCTTTTCGATTTACAGGCTTGGACGAAGGCGAAATGACCGAAACATAAACCCAGAAAAAGTGCTGTTTAATCTTGGAGAGGCTCTAACCAAAACATAAACGCCAAACTTTCATGCCAAGATTAAGTGGAAATCGATAGGAGCCCATTTGTTTATTCCAAGTTTCTGAATTCCAATTCCCAGGGTTGATCTTTTATATGATGGCTCCCACACGTTTGAGAAATCGGCACTTTCGAAGTCGTTCCAATTTCGAAAATCTAGCGGCAGTTTGAATGAGACGTTTCGCAACCACTCAACGATCTGATGAATCGGCACCTAAAATCACTGGTTTACTTGGAAGTAATGATAGATTAAGGATTTCACTGCGTGAGGGTTGAAGTGATCAATTTTTGAGAGTCAAGGAAAGATGAACCAGTGGGAGGATGATGTGATGCAAATTTAGAGGTTCGTATACCTATGAGAGCGGAATCGGATAATTGTGTTAGAGGACATACACAAGTCTCGCCCATCCCACCATTCCACCCACGCTCGAACTTGGAATTTTAATTTTCCGCCTACGTCTATGATCTCTTCCTTTTCTCCTCAACTCGACTATTGAGATAGCTCAACGACGAATTCCTTTGTCACGCCCGTCTCCTATTTCACCTGCCCGTTTGCATTTTTTTTCAGAACTCGTTTGCTATTTAACTCAGTTAACTGATATACAATATAAACATGTCTTCTGTCTTCCCTTCAAAGGTGGAAGGGTGAGGTGGTCAGTGGTTCGAGTTGCCTTCGAATTCGTAAGTGTATTCAGTGTTGTCTGGCTTGTACTGCCGATAATCTGTCTGTAATCGGTCCGGAATTACCAGCAAAGATTCTGCGGCGTTTCAGTGAGAATCATTGTACTTATTAATTGTTACCAATTAGATGGCTTCCGGGGATGAGGGGCTTTGTTGGTTTGCGCGAAACGCAATCCACCGCTGGCGGTGGTGTCCCTTTCTCTTCAACCTAATTCCTAGATTCCTGTTATCTTTCACCTGCTGGGATTTCTTCATGCACTTATATGCAGGTTGAAAATTACTTTTTTTAAAGCTCTATTTAAAACTTTTTATTTAACTTTTTTCCTCAAACTTTATATAAAATCCCATGACCCCATCATTTAAGTACTAGGCACCGATTATGGATGGAGCTTTTTTCCCACTTGCAAATACAGCGGTGTTTTGCTCACATTCTTGTACAAAAAAAAAGTTTTTCTCGTGATTCAGCGCATTTTTTCGAAGGTTCCGACGGGAATTTGTATATTCTAATTGAACTCCCATGCGCTTTACTCCCTTTTTTTTCTTTGCAAGAGGAGTGGGAGAAGGGAATCGTTTAAGTGATGTCATCCTCATGTTTTCGTGGAATCCGTTTGAATGACGTTTCTTGGCAAATAGATAAGGGCGAAGCGAGTAGTTTGGTTACGTATCTAATACATCTGATTGTTGGTAAGTATGCAGCGACCAGACAATAGGAGCTCAGCGACTTGGGGGAACTTTTTTTCGCAAGTGGTTAGGGAGCTAGGGGATGGCGGTCCCTAGTAGAGTTCCTTCACCTGCTCGAAAAAAAAGGAATTTCTGAAAATAGGAAATATCTGACGCTCCTGCAGTTAGTTATACTGTGTGTGTGGTTTGTGAACATTCGAACCAGTTTTTTGAGTTGATTCATACTTACGTAGTAGATTTACTGTCATTCGAGACCTGGACTGAATGTTTAGAAAACGTCAACTTGAAGGGTATTAGTACATTTTCCTTACTTCTACAGGTTTTTGACTAATTCGTAGTTGTGACGTTTCGATTTACTGTCATTCGAGACCTGGACTGAATGTTTAGAAAACGTCAACTTGAAGTGTATTAGTACATTTTCCTTACTTCTACAGGTTTTTGACTAATTCGTAGTTGTGACGTTTCGTGAACTTTTCTCATTAGACTTTAAGGTATTTGAAAGCGTAATCGGTCTGTATATTTTAGTTGAATTTCGGGGACAATGGAAGGGTATGTCAATGTTTTCATACTCGGAAACTAATCTGGCCCGAATCCTTGGCGGTACTTTCTGTAGCGACCGTAGGTTTGGTTGGTTCGTTGCGAGATTCACACCAATCAGTCGAAAGAACGATTAGTGATTGAATGTGGTACCTACTGAGAGATTACGGGGTTCCTCAGATCTGGTCTACCTACGTGTACGTTAATAATTTCGAGACACTTCTCAGCAAGATTACTGGAAAAAGATCGAATTTTTTTCATATTGTCTGTGTCTTCATGTATTATTCGAATGTTCGGACGAATTTACAGAAAAAATCCTCAACTGAAAGGAGTTGTTTATGGCTAGCTATCTACTTTGATCTTATGAATATCCAAAATAATAGATCAAAAGGTCACAGTAATTCGTTTACTGCTTTTTTTGAAATGGACTTTTTTCGGAGGCACTGCAGGGATTGAAATTGAGGCGTTTTGATTTGTTAAAGTATTATCTGATCATATCATATATCGTGATACCATTATTCTCGCTATTTTTATCTACCGTCGCCAAGATACCTGGTCTCAGGAGTATCGATTCTGACGGCTTTTGGGCCCTTCTAGCCACACCATTGAGCTCCAATTGGCAACCGGTCGGGGTGCATTCACACCTCTAGCATGCCCTTGCTATTGCAGCAGCTGCATTTGGAGCTGGTGTGTGCAAATCGATCTGCAGACAAAGTCTTTCCATTTACTAAAAAACGCTTTCTTTTTTAATAGGCTCTCTATTTGTGTTCTCAGGTGTGTAAACATTGTTTTCTCACGCGGGTATAATATCAGCACTAATTTGAACTCGTAGCTTCTCATGAAAACTAATCCCGCACGAAAAGCGTTCGTTCGTGTTACCATTGTGCTTTCGTGCAATTGGGAACACCGTGGCCATCCCTCTTCCGACGGTCCCCAGTGAATTTGGGCGAATTCGTCGACGACGCTGCTGCCAGATGTTGTCATGTCATTCGTTAACGATGCTGCAGCACAGCAAAATCGGTTTTCTATTTGTTTTGTATGTTTTGGGCAGAGCTTGATTGTCTAATGGTCAGACACCAATGGCAAAGCTTGGGTGTTCTATCATACATGTTGGCTAACCTCATAAGCACTAAGTTACTTATTCGATTACGAAAGCCACCGATGGAAGGCTGGCAACTTTTTTTCTGCTTGTCTTCAGTGGCTCCGTCATAGATTGAATAGCATTTTTGGGAAGGCGGCAGCAGCGCCTTCGTTGCAGTCCAGCGATTTCGTCGTGGTCGTCATCGTCGTCACACTTCTTTGTTCATTCGTTTCGTGTACGCTTTTGCGGATGTTCATTAGGGACAGAGACTCTATCCCCCAAGTGTTGACCCCAAAGCTTTGACGTAATTGTGGTAAGCCTCAGTCGGGACTGGGGTTTTTCGTAAACTATAACATCCTAATCGTTCCTCTGGGTAGTTGTTTTTCCGCAGCGATGTTTATTTCTTGAAAACGATTAAAGCGTGAAATAAGAATGGAATCTCTGGGGCGCCTGGACCAAGTGCCGGAGGGTAGATCAGTATGCAAGGCTTCATATATACACACCCAAGCACATACACGTACATACACACATTCGCTCAATCCTCCATCCACCCACATTCGCACTGCCTCACATCGATCGCCACTCAGCCCCCGGAGGCGACACTGGCTCGCCGTTGGAGAGCCGACGAGCACCAGCAGCCGCTTCGGCAGCGTCAGCAGTAACGACGGCGGTAGCAGTGGCTGCGGCTTGCCAGCCATGGTTAATAGGCGTGCGCTTGACTATGGGCGGTGCTTCAAAGCTCTCTTTCGTCTGCCCTCTTCCTCTGCTCCTGTTCTTCGGTGACGTGGACGTGGACGTCGTCTAACTCACTCATCATCGAAACTCTCACCACCATTGAGAACTCTCCTCTTACCCTGTCTTTTCCTATTTTGATTTTACCTCCAAACAAATGGCTTATAGGGGAAACTGAAAACAATTATTCAAGGGTCTCTCTGAGGCAGTCTTCTTGCTTTTCTCATATAGCCTATGTGTTGTGATGTTGAAAAACTGAAAAACATTCTATTCAGGCGTATCTTCGGGAGCTCAAATCCCGCCAAGGACCACCAAACGCCCTCAAGCCCGACAAATCGAAAAAGATTGAGTGAAGTGAGTTCCGTTCTTCTATGGTTATTTAGGTTTTCTGGGCTTTAATTTATCGACACCGTAACTTCATTACCTTTAAATACTTTCTCGTTTATTATTTATGGCTTGTCGTCAAATCTGAAAGAGTGTAATTTGTCTTCGGATTGAGGGCGATGAATTTTTTGACGAACGCATGTTCTCGGCTTGGATAGCTCGTTCTATTGTTTTGTCATCCTCTGGTCCTTTTCGGTTTTTGGGAAAATCAGGACCTTTTATTCTCCTTAGCATTCTTGTTTTAAGGGTTTCAAAAAATTTGCCAGAACGATTGACAGATATATCCAATGGGCCAGGCTTTTGAGTTCAATCCCAAGTTTCCCTGACGCCTTTTGCGGATTGCTGATTTTTTAAAAATTGTTTTTCGAGTTTTCAGTAAGTTTTCGTAGNNAAAATTAGGACCTTTTATTTTCCTTAGCATTCTTGTTTTAAGAGTTTCAAAAAATTTGCCAGAACGATTGACAGATATATCCAATGGGACAGGCTTTTGAGTTCAAGCTCAAGTTTCCCTGACGCCTTTTGCGAATTGCTGATTTTTTAAAAATTGTTTTTCGAGTTTTCAGTAAGTTTTCGTAGATTTTGAGAAAGTTAGGCAGCATTCCTTTGATATGATTTTTAGGGAACACCACGTACTGTACTCTCAAGTTGTGACGTTGAACCGTCGGGAGATCCCACAACGCAAGTGGCTGGAGGTGTAGTTCCCGATAATACGACAACAACAACAGCAACAACAACAGCATCACCAGTAATAGACGGCGTACTTTCTACTGAAACAGATTCGAATTGTTGTCAATCCGTCGACGAAGGCTTACCGCCTCCCATGGACGAGATAACGCTCAACAACTCGCACATGGTCAGTGTCTTCAAAGTGTTCTTAGTCATTAGGTTCGTATAAGACGGGAGTTCGATTAGGTCGTAAAGCTGTTGGTCGCGTTTCTCATGAACTTGACATATTTGTTTGGTCCGTGCCATTCGCAAAGTACACCTTAGTACTGCTTGCAACCTCTTACTCTCTCACATACTTTGCACTTGTCAATTTCCTTTCTTGAGGTTCCAGTGGTCTAGCCAGCGAAAGCGAAATGAGATTCTAACAAAGCCTTTTTTGTATCGGTCCAAATACCAATTGGTTCAGAGCGATTCCCTGACTAAGCGATGACGCCGCCCTTAAAGAATTGGAATTATTGTCTTGGTGTAACATGCGTTTGTTTTATGGTTGGAAGTTTCCTTTTCTATTCCATTGTGCGAAAGAATCCCTACAGTAACTCCCAAAAAAGTTTCGTACGCTACCATTGATGGTAAATAGGTTCCAAGGGGCAATGAGTTGGCGGAAACTATCTTTACAATGCCTTTTCGATTGAAAGAGAGGCTTTCTGTGGAATGCTCAATGACTCCATGAGAATCGAAGTCTGCTGTAGACAGTCCAATCCACCCAAAACTTACGACTTCATTTTTTTTCAGTATTTTTTAATTTCTCTCTTTTTACTTAGGTTTATTGAGCCCTCCAGGTGTTCAACGAGTAGTCCTGGTATAACTATTGCTCTGCAGAACTATAATGAATTGTATGGTTATTGATTGATTCCTTCTTTGGGCGAATTCTAAGAAAAAACTCAACAATTCCTCGTCAGCGTACAGTGTTGTTGTGTATGTGAGAAGAGGTGCTCAGTTGCTTGCGCCGATGGGTGGCAGCGACGGCATGCGGTAATATGATTTAGTTGGTCCAGCCTCGTTTCGGCCGTTTCTTGTTGAGCGCTTCGTTCGCAAAAAGAAATTCATGAGAGAAGTGCCATGAATGTGAGAAGGAAATAGAGCTCCTATGATGAAATATTGACTTGTTCCCACTGAACAGTTTCGGGGACGTCTTCCTGTGTAACACTTCTGCTTAGGTCGAGGGAATGAGCTAATTTGTGTTCTTTCTCTCCTTTAGACGAGTTCCCTCTGTCCCCAACACTTCTAGCCATGCCATAAATGAATTTTCTGCGAGAATTTTTGAAGTATTGCCTCATCTCTGTCAAGAGCTTAGATTTTTTTTTTGGTTTCGAGCCCAGGCGAACCCTTGAGATTAGTTCTGGATTGGCATTCATGCTGTGTTGGGAGTTCCACTTGCTCCTTTGTTTTTTCTTCTATGAGAGCGGAAGCAAGTGACGCCACTGAATGCGAACGGCAACTCTCAGGATTCTGGAATTGGTTGGCATTCGGCTGTGCAATTATTTGTTTAATTAATATTCATACTGTCTAAGCAAGCGGCGAATGATCCTGGGCGAAAGACCTAGGGAGATAGAACAAAACTATGAAGGGACAGCTGATGACATGCCCTTGAGTAAAGAACCTATGTAACTATGAACGTACTGTTTTGCGCTTGGGTGAACGTATTTTTTCTTTTCAAGACTTCAAAACCTAAACACAACATCCTCCCGATAATGACTGCGCTGCTGATACCAAGTCAACCTTGCTGTACAAATTGTGAGCAGTTGCACGCCGGCTTGGCTATACAGCCCTTATGCGGTAAAGAGTTGCTTCTGCTGCACAACCTTGTCCTATTTTCAAGGACAGATTATCCTATTTTCCCAACGTTTCAATTCCATTGCATTTCCATTTTATTTCTATCCCTTTCTTTATTGATTGGTCAAGGTCTGGACAACTAATAGTTAGTTATAATTGTAGCATAGTGAATACATAAGTAGTTGAACATTTGTTTACTGCTACAATTCATGGGCCTGAGAAAGACGTCATTCACTTCAGGCCTTGTTAACAAGCGCCGGAATCGGTGGACTAGCAAGGAACACTGATTGGAACACTGATTCCCCATAAAGTCGCGCTGTGTGGTATGAATCAGGGTAATAAGGGAATGCGGAATCCGGGGGTTTCACCTATTTTTAGTAACTGATTTTGAGGTTTTTCGATTAATCACCCTCAGGAGATCCAAAACAGTATGCGGGCAGTATC